TCCTTCTGATCTATCCTTTTAAGCACTAACCCTACCCTGAGGAGAGTCAATGATGAGTTCCGGGGTTGACTGAAAGTTGCACAAGGATTACTGTATCCTAAGTGACTTCTGATGAATCATATGTGTTGACCACCCTAATGGCTTTTATCTTATAGCCATACCTAGGCCACTGCTATGCTTAGTCGTAGAATTGACTGGAACTATAGTATATTATCCCAGGGATTTAATGCTTTTGTTTGATGGTTGTTGGCAAACCGCCTTTCAAATCTAAATTGAATGACTTAATCGCCAGTTCAGTCTATTCCTGTTCGCGTATGCACCTTGGTATCTACAAATGTTTGAAAATAATGACAGTGGCTTTTATTTCTCCGCAGTCATTGTAAACTGGTGTCTTTTATGACTAGTTTTAGTAATACTGATTAATATTATCTATACATTTTGTGTACTGCCTCCAAACGGATGAAAGAAACATTTGATACTGCAACAGTAAAAGAATCATCTATCTACATTGTCCTAGGCGATAACGTCAGTTGAACGTAGGAGTATAGAGGGGTTCTCTAACTTTGACAAATAAAGAGAAAACAACCATTGTGGATAGAGGATAGAATGCTGGTGATCACATGTGACGGTCCTATACTCGATCTTACATAGGTTATGGGTACCTACTACTGAACAGTTCAGAACCAGGATGAAACAATAATTCCATAAGTTTTCAGCGGTTCTACAACTGACATCAACTCCAAATGAAACTTGATTTCAAATCAGTAATATACTACACAAAAGGCAATTACAGACTTTTAAACCCGTCTTTCTTTACCACGCCAATCACTGTATATGACTGTTCGTGGGCTTTACTAAATTAATAAAAGACAATTGAGCGAAGAAAATTTACTTTTCGATGAGTTATTTTCAATAGCTATACAACAGAAATTATACTTACAACAAAATATATATCCATCACGGACTGACATCAGTTGGGGAAACATTGGACAGGTGTTTCGTTTTAGTATGCAAATCCTCAGCAGTACGCACCCATGGATACCAAATGAAGACTTTGGGTGATAGTTGGAAACTGTGAACCACTGAACTCTGACCCAGTGACTGAGTGCTTAACACGTTCGGCGTGAAACTTGAAGGTCCTGAGTTCGATCCCAAGTTGGGTCGTGGGTGCGTACTGCTGAAGAGTTCCCTACTAGGACGAGACAGCTGTCCAATGTTCTCAGGTTTGAAATGGTTCCCCAAATGAAGTCAGTCCGTGATGAATACAACCTCTAAATTAAAATCTCCATTCATCTCAAAAATATACATATCCATCAATACCTAATGGGTTAATATAAAGTCATCAAAAAAGACAAATAAAGTCACAAGATGATAGCAGCTAGAAGGTCAACTGAAGGTCTTCAAGAACTCCTTATCGAACTATAATGAATAAATAAAAAGATAAATAAAATGTCTTAGGGAGATTACGGCCACGATAAAATTAGAGGCTGAAAATACCTCTTTTGAACGCAAAGATCAGGCTTGAACCTCTGGATTGCCAAAACCTCTGGTGTGTTGAGGTGGTGAATACTCACTCCCTTCAGAATGTTTAATTTCACTTTATAAAAGACTTTGAAGGAAGATTCTTATGGAGCAGAGTGGTGAGAGTTAACCAGATGCTCAAGAATCCAGCTGTTAGTGGCTTAGCACTCTCCGTTAGACAGTCATACAGAATAGTGTTCGTTAATGAGCTTGGATAGAACACGCTTTATCTGGACTATGTAACCAGCTTCACAAGAGCAGGTGAATTGGTGGATACACACGGGGGTGGCTCAGACCAGTAGTTTTTTAATGACACACTCTCAAATAGTTTGTTGCCTACAGAAAACAATCTGAAGTGAGGCAGAAAAGAAGGTCCTCTTCAGTCCTTTCAACAATCTTCTCGGAAAGACTTAGGCTTGATGTGCCGTTCAATGAATCTTGTAGGATAACCATTCTTGATTAACACTCTTTGAAGTACTTCCGTACATATCCTTCCAATTCGTGTGCATAGTGCATGGATTAGATTTCTTTTCCTGACTATTGAGACCCAGTTTTGGAAATTGGTATATTGTTCATGCCAGGTTTGTTTTCTGTAGATCAGTCTGCTTAGGGAACCATCGTGTTTTCTTCTCAATAAAACGTCCAAGAAGTGGTATTCTGAGTTATTTTCAGTTTCCATGGTAAATTTAATTGACTTATTACACTCATTGGATTTTCGTAGTATATCTCCAAGGTTACTATTCTCTTCACAGATGATGAAAGTGATATCCAAGTGTCTCTTATATAGATAAAGCTGTTCGAATAATGGACGTAGTTTCCTGTTCTCCAAACAGGCTATGAAGTAATCACCTAGTAGAGGATCCAGTGGTTAACCCATTGCTACCTCATCCATTTGTCGATAAACTTCATTATTACATTTGAATTGAACATTAAAGGTAAATAGTAAGAGTAATTCCTTCAGAAAATGTTTAGAAATCACAATTACAAGCTTACTGGTCTCAGTATAATCATTCACATAGAAAACACATTGTTTCTGTCAAAAGGGAATCTGTGACGAGTGACATGACGTTCAAGGACGATACAGGCTTACCACACAGATTGACCCATTATCAACAATACAAGTCTTTCAAACCACGGCTACCTTACTCAAAATGATAATCAATAGGATGCTCCCCCTCTCTAATTCAAGTAGATTTGGATTAGGATGGGAAATTCCTGACTGGGGTAGCCAGTGTGAGTATGATCAAGCGGTAGTAACGTCCTACAAGTTTACATGCCAGTCGGGTGATTGAAGTGAAATAAAAATCTGGCCAACAGTTGGTTCTCGTAGATCAGTTTGTAGAATACTGAACCGGAAACCCAATGGTAGATGGTTCGAGTTCTATCGAGGCCTAAACTTTCATCTCACCTTCAATCCCCACCTAGCATCAATATAAGTCTACTAAACCATGACTATCTTAGATAGTCAAAATGATAAGTAAATTATTAGTTGTATTCACTATGATTTAAACTGTTGTGATTATAGTTATCGATCGATTGGATAATAAGTGTGATAAGAAATACAGCATACGCTTATTTGCGTGAATGTATGCATGTGTTTCCGTGATTCTGACCTATCCAAATACGAACACATACTCACGCACTTATATATATATATATATATATATAATATATATAATGCATTCAAGAGGCTCATCTTTATAATAAGACTTGAAGAAGTACATTATTATTTATGTAAATCAGTCAAAAAAAAGATGACAAGTACTTGTCGTTTGAAACAATAAATAATAGTTTTTATTTTTCTTCTATTGTTGGTTAGTCTACAAATCAATCTTCCTTCTCTGCTTTCTTTCTACATCTCTGTCATTCAGGAATACGATAACTCTTCAAATTTGGCATTTACATAAATTGTAGAAATGAACATCTCTTTGTTGTTGTTTTCTGTATGGAAAAAAAAGGTTTTCTTACTTCTCTTTCTTGTCCATCCATCCATTCCAAAAACTTATCCATCATATTATGCATCTACCTATCAAGTTAACTACTGTTTTTCATTTCCGTAATTCTACTCTGTCAATCGTTAATTGTTAGTTCATTTGTCTATCCAGATCTCCTCTGTAATTAACAATCACCTTAGTGCATTTTTTTAATTAATGGAGGTTAGCAGGGGGGAATCGCTGACATGCGTTTCGTCCCACCGGGACACTTGTTAGCCGGATATATGTATTAGTATATTCGTATTGTCGTTCTCAGGGGGGGTCAAACGCGGGGCCTATCACTTCAGACACCATAAAGTCATCCAACAGGCTACTAATTCACGACTTTCACTTCTTGTACAAAGGGGATAACTTCTTGACGTGGCTTATAAGCTGTTGTTATTAATTGGTTGGAGTTGGAATGATTCATCATTAGTGATGCAATCATCTTATCTATTCTTGTTTCAACTTTCTGATGTCTATTTTTTAAAAATGATAGTTTACTGTAGATAATACTGCCATCATCGTAGCAAAATGTAATGCAACTGGATTCACTCAAATGCTTTTCAAGAAACGATTTCTAGGAAGTATCTAAATTCTTTTCAGGTAATCAACTTCGAAGTTTTTATAATCAATTTTTAGTGTAGTTGTCACTGGTCAATGGGTTAACCTTTACCCTGCAAGTAAGTTGTTACAAGGAAGGAGGTTTACAGTGGTAGGCATATGTTTGGCGGTTACAGTTAACCCAGTCAGGCAAGTGGAAAGAAGTCAACTGACAACTCAATAACTCTACGGAATGTTCATTCGTTTAATCATAAGAGAAAATCGATAAAAGTGAAAACTTTGTGGATGAGAAGACAAATTCATTTAGAATTCGAAACCAGAAATGAAATGGATAAGATTTTGAAATGTTGTACACAGATCACAAGATGTCCTGAGTTCGAAAATTATAAGGATAGTGATGTACTATTGTTCAGAAGAATATCAATGCAGTTACTCATGAAAACATCATTTTGGATAAACATTCAACTAACTCTAGTTAACGTCTACATTTGTTAGGAGACTAGACTGACATCACTGGAATTTTAACAGTAGATCATAACCTTAACTCCTCTGTACTCACTATCTTCACTGAGTGAGAACTTTTATATGGATTCTTTAAAAGTTGAAATATTCGAGGTTGGTCTTGTGCTTCTGAAGAGACTCTTAGGATTCTCTAATTTTCATTGGTTTATCAAGGAATATTACTATAAAACCATCTTTAATTAATCCTTTGGTAACAAACTGAGGCAACTGGACTTATTTCAGTCTCCCCAACAGTGTTTGCTTACAATATTACTACTAAAAAGGTTTAAAAAAATCATATTCCTACTTGATATATTTTTCTTCTGGCTAGTTATAATTACAATAAATATTATCGATTTAATCGGTATTATCAAAAAATAACATTACTGTCGAATATTACTATTATTATCATGGTCTTTTTTCTCTCTTTCAAATATCCAGGTGTTCAATACATGTCCAATTGATTTGACGAGTTATCTATCCCCTTCTCGTTCTCACTCACACACATACTCTCTCTCTCTCAATTCAAATTTGAAAATTAATCGATAATTACTTGTGTATGACATATAAACGATTCACATGAAAGCTGAAGCATCCTCTGTAGATTTACTTTCACCTTGTCCTATTTATCCTAACCCAATGTTGACCTTCTGTTCAAGTGTACAAAGTGCAAGAAATATATTTTCTCCAGATATCTGTAAAGATATGGAACCACTGATTTGTAATGGAATGGTGACTACAACAAAATGTACAACATTGCTTGCTACTACAGTATCAACACCAACACCACCATTGTCATCATCATTATCTCTCCATTCTTCATCATACTGTTCATCTTCATCATGTTCGATTGCCTCAGTGACAGCATCAGCTACAGTCCCGACAATACTCAGCGATTTATCAACAGCGGTTGTAACAAAAATTATTTATCTTCTGGAAAATGTATGCCAATCTAATCAGTTGCCATTCGAGGAGAAAGTGAAAATTCTCACAGATATAGCAGAGTATGTGATTAAGTTTTATGAGCATTTAACGAAATCAGGAACAAGCCTTACATCTTTTGTAAGTTACCGTATATATTTCATTTATCTTACTGAATCATTTTGGATACAAATATTTAGCCATGATTAAGCTAACTCCTCTGTATTTAAGGGGTTCAGTTAACCAGACGTGTCATTTGCAAGATTTCGGTTATAGTACCAAAGTTTCATTCCACCTGCTGCAGACAACTCGATTATGTAACACATACAGGCAACAGAAAACGTGAAACTGATAGAATTCTATGCAGACTATCTGAGAGAAATGGAATCTCACTAGAGGTAGGTGGATTTGAAAATATTCAGATTGGCATAGGATGCTGAAATTTTTTTCCCCAAGACTTCACCACTCGATTGATTAGTATACTTTATTACACTAAATGGGATACCTAGTATGCAGGAACAATTAAGTGATCCTATCGATGGTCTATAAGGACCGACTGACTGCAAAGTGGTTTTATGATGAAGTGACGTCAGCTGGAGAACAAGTGTAAAGCAGGGAGAACACGATAGACGTTCTGTCCTTGTTTGGGACTCTTTTTGCAGTATATACGTTCAAGCTCATTTGAAATCGAACCCTTCAGTGTTAGATTTCTCGATGAGTGCTGTATCCTAAAATAACATGGGTTGGGAAATGTAAATCACTGACTGAATGGTGTCTTGTTTACCACGAGATATAATCCTTCCGACCGATAGCTTTCAAAGGGTTACTGGTGCACACGCTTCAGGCTTAAAGCAGGATAAAAAACAATCATTCAGTTCTATCTAATATTCAGTAGTTTCCCAGTTGATATCACTATGTGTTAAAAGCCATTTTGCAATAAATAAAGATTTTGTATTGTTGCTATTTATGGTATAGTGGATTGAATATAAGAAAACAGGAAGCTCAGATTTATATTATCGTTTGTACTATTTTATTGATTTTTAAAAACATTTCAGTGTACACTTCAGACTAAGGGTCTTTTATCGACTCCTTACTTATTTCTGTACGATTTTTTAACCCACAGCAACTGACAGACTAGTAATTATTGTGTATAAGATCATTTCCCATGTAAAAGAAATCAGCAGTTTCATCCTTTTTGTGAATAATGGTATGATATGAGTTTAAAATTGAGTCGTACATATGGATGTTTCAGAGCAGGGAAAACAGCATGAATTGTGAGGATAACTGAGTGATTAATCTATGGAAAGGCTTACTTTACCCATGTCTTGTGCTTTGTGGCACTCGCCACCAAGGTATATCTAGAACCTCAAAGAAACTAATGTCTCCTGCAAGATTCGAACCGGCGTCACCCGGTGTTCCAGATAATGACGTTACCATCCAGCTCATGGGGACATGACTGATATCCTGTAGAATCGGACTACATGCATACACACCCCAAAATGATATAGGTAATTTAGCTGTCACTCAGGACTAGACAACTGAGATTGTTTGATTTCTCGTGATCAATTGACGTATGTAATCTAGTCCTAAAGGAGGTCAGTCACAGCTTGAATAGCTTAGTGGTAACATCTCTGACTCCAGCTCTGAAAAAAATGGGTTTAAATTTCAAAGAGAACATTAGTTCCCTCGAGGTTACAGATGTACTTTGCTGATGAACACCAACAATCAAGAAACCTAGGTCAAGCATGGCTTCCTTGCAGATTGACTGCAACCAACTACTATCCATCAAAATCCACCGCAATGTTTAGCCTCCTCGGTTAGCGGACATTTTGTAAAACGACCGACAGAATTCGGCTAGCACTCAAGATTGAATACTCTCCGGTGATCAATCAATGTACGAGCGACTGATCGTTAGGTGCATTGTGTATTCGAGAAGCTGAAGTTACATAAAGATTGATTCACGCGCATTGCACCATCATAGGTGAAATAGGAAATTATGTGATCAGAACATAACATACAAATTATATCAATTAGCGTTACAATTACGATAAGAATGATTATCAATGCTACTACTTTTATTATCAGAGGAAGTTGTAGCGGTTTGAGAAGTAACAGTTATACTGTGAGTAGCAGTAGTAAGTAGTGCCTGATATTAGACCTAATATCTATCTAGTTAGCTTTGCGAAAAAATTCCTAGAAGGATTACATTCTTGAAAAGTAATTCAATTCACACTAGTTTGTGTGAACTATTCACTGTAAACTTTATTTCTAGAGGTTACTGATGTCTTCAAGTTGCTTGTTAGTTCGTGTGGGCAAAACATTCATTTGAAATGACGGTTTACGAGCTTTGCCTGCTTAGATAGAATTTTATCGATGTTTTCCAGGTAATTATCAGAATGTCTTGTACAAGCTGAAAAATTATCCATCCATTGGTACATAAGTATAATATTGATCGGTTGACTTGGCGCCTACAATGCTTCAAAACAACTTTGAATTATCATTTAAGACTCCTGAACTTTATCATCGAAGAGCTAATTAGATTAAATTCTTATTGTGTTTATTTAAGATGTGAGTTTTCTTTTTGTTAGTTAAAAGATATTTAACTTCTTTTAATCTACAGCAAGACAATGACAGCCCATTGAATTTGACTCAACCAAAAGTGTTGAACAAAGAGATTAATGACAATTTGTCTTGCTTATTATCTACAACGAATCCCGCCTCTACTATGAAACAAATAGGCAATTCCTATGATCATTCAACAGTGTTACACTCACTAAACCATCAGAATTTTACTCAACAGTCATCTAAATCCCCAGAAAAGTCATCCTTATTTCCTGTGTCAAATACTGTTCAAACTAATCCTATGATTCAAATGACTCAATCTGTACCTTGGTTGCAAAAGCCCAACTATTTGTCGAATGGATTAATCCATCCTGTAGATGATAATTCAGATGTGATGCTTAAGGAGGCGAATTTATCCTCCTTCTTTAATTGGTCGTCTACATTTCCAGATGTTAATGTTTCACCCAACTGGTTACTTGAACAAATCACACAGAACAGTGAAAAAGGGGTAAGTGAGATGATAGTAGCACTGGTTGAAAATAATTACAGATATTCATTACCCTCCAGACAAATGTAAACACATAATTAACGTTATAGCTTGTAGTTTTCCGTCGTTGATCGAACCAAATCGATCAGCCATTTTGAACATGTTTGCGCCTGAGCGGATCTCATGAAATCATCGGTAATTTTTTGTTGATACTGATGATGAACTGTGGCTAGTAGTAGAATCCACAATTTGTGTTTCATCTTACTGAGGACTTGTCAGCTGCGTGTACCTGTCTTTCAGTGAGTGTTGTGGTTCTCACCTAAACTTTTGAACTCTTTTGCTTGCTACTATGCATCATCTTCAGTATTAAACAGTCGATTAGTTCAAGTAAGGCAAGAACAAATAGCTTTCTTTTCAGAATAAGGTAAACACAGTTTGTTTCATCACATTCTCTTCAACTGTGTACTCAATAATAAACTCTGGAATTTAAAACAGTCATCCAAATAACGTCCAAATGATCGCCAGTTTCTCACCAGCTGCTTATATCATTTTCACAGTTAACAGGAACTGATATTGTATACCTTGTGGGTATGGTCTACCAAAGATACATAAGCATAAAATTCCCTTATACTACAGCTATACCATTCCCTATTGAGTCACCTCATCACAAAGTCGCTTTTTAGCCTGAAGAAAAGTTGAAACCTCTGCGTCAACAAATGGCTGAATATATTTTGAAAAATCCACCTGCTGGGGATGTAAGTAAAGTCAACAGCTGTAGTAAGTACTTGGTGCCATCCATGAGACTGACGATAATATCTGTCAGCATCCCGACCTCCTCCATCTGCTAATTTGGGAATCCCCAAGTGTATTGTCAATATGTACTAGAGGCGTTCAGTTTCGGGTCAATAATACTCCTTACCACCGAAATGGTTGAGTAACAATGGGAAGTTCATTGGACCAAACCTTGAGAAAACGAAGCCCAACATGCAGTCGAAGAAACAATGTCTTATTTCACATTTGTCATGTACAGCAATCTATATCATGCATCCTACTTACTAGAACTTTTCTGCGATTCCCTTGAAGTCCTGAAAAATTCAGCTTCGTAGATGTCATCTTGTAAATCAGAAGAAGTATTACCCCTCAAAAGTCTATTCATCGAAAGAATACATGAAATGGACCATATCTAGACTTCAAAGGGTTTGTATTTCTTATCATACCGTGGTGATACTTGTTAACTAACTCCACTTAACTGAAAACAGTTGTAAGCGGTTGATGAGAGATTAAAGAAATAAAAAGCTGACATACTAGATGGTTGAAGACAACCAGTTAGAAACCCTGCATCTGCGTTGTAGACCTGTTGGCTCTTGTTAGCCAGGCGTGTCCACAACCTTGAAAGAACTGATATCCCCCTCTGAGAAGCGAACCAGTGTCAACTATTTTTGTGGTCAGAAAAGTTACCACTGAGCTATAAAAGCTATGAACGACCTCCTATATGAGTAAGTTAGACAAAATTTATGTCGTCTACTCCTATATGCTGACCAAATTCTATCCATCATTAGTGAAATATAGTCAGCAGACCAGGAGATTCAGCATCGTGTTGCACTTTGATTGATACCAGATGGTTGTACGAGGCGGGCAGGAAGTCGTGAACCTGAGTTTCATGCTTGCTGGCACTCATCAACAATACAACTGAAGTTTAACCACTGATTCATTCTGAATACAAAGGTCAATTTCTGACCTTTTTATTGTAATGACCTCTGTACACTGAAGCAGAATGGGACTGTATCGTTTACTAACTGTTTTGAATGCATTTTCAATGTCCACATCTTGACGTGAATCGAGTAGATCACCGGCTATTCAACTATTGACACCATACAGCCCTACTGAGGTTCAGATTCCTTGAAGTATATTCAGTGAAATGTGTAGATACTTGTCCCTCCAACCTTCCAATCGATAAATCTAGTTGAAGGTGATATGAAGGTGGTAAACTACATTTTTGTCACTGTCTTCTGAAAATCTATTCGTTCTTGTCTTATTTAAACTAGTCAAGAGAACTAAAATGTATGAAACTCATCTAGTCATCTAACTGAAGATGTTCAGTAAACATAACATGAACACAACTGTCTGGTCACCTGCTCAAAGTCTATTTTGTCGCTAACGTTGCCTTCACGGTAACTCTAATATTACCTGGTTTTTTTTACCTGAATTCTCTAGAATGAACAACCTACTTACCAAAGAACAAAAATGTCGACAGTATAATTTTTCAATACTTTTAGGTGTTCTTGAAGACGGTAGTAAGTGTCCACATGTTTTTGTTAAACTACTTCCATCTGATTCTATTCGTATACACTGAAGGGGAGTATTGGTTTATGGTAGGGATTCTGATGAGTCTTCGTAAGCTGGGAATTCTTTCATCCTCTCTTAGATAAGAATGTTCTCGTTGTCGTCAAAAATATCAACGAAATCACTGAGGTACATGAAGAAATGTGTTTTCAAGTCTTTTCATCATCATTAAGTATGTTTGAGCACTTCATCAGTGTACTGGCAGCTAAAATTCATCACCAATCAAGCGATAAGGTCTGAAAGAACTGTGGTTTACCAAATTATCGGGTGGAGTTGAGGATGGGTTGTAACCTGGTGAGGTTTCCTTGATTATTCCAAATATTCAACCTTTCAATCTCTCACATCCGGTAATACCATCACCTTAAGTAATTCAGCTTGAAAAGTGACTCATCCTTACTCCTCTTTCTCCCTAATTTCCTGTTTTTGTTTTTTATCGTCTAGATGAATACAAATGTGATGACTCAATCACCCAGTGCAATTACTGAAACAATGCTGAACTACTTAAAATGTTATTATTCAAAATTATCAGGCGATGACAGCACCTGTCAACAGTATCCACCGGAAGTGGAACATATGTTTACAGCTGAAAAGTCTTTACAAATGTCTAATAAACTGCCGACAAGAAACTCCTCGTCCATTTTTCAAGACGGATGTGGTCTAGTAGACAATAATATAGTACAAAAGAAATCTGCTTTCATGCAATTATATGACATAATTAGTCAAGTCAAGCCTAAAGTTGATCAGAAGCAGATGATGTCACTGACATCGACAGCAACGACACCGATGGCAACAACATCCCCACAAAGCATCACAGAACATTTTAAGCCAAATGACTTTTCGCTTCAGGGATCATTAGTTAACAATAACAGTAATATGAATGGGTTTTCATTGTGTCTACCGGTTGGATTATCAACACCACCATCATCAATGATATTTCAGCAACAGCAACCACCTCATCAGATTAGCCAATCCTGTGATAATACGAGTTTTCTGTCATTCAGTCAGAAACTCAAGTCAATATCGGAGATGAATAAAGGTCAATTCAACTTTCCATTGCAACAAATCCCCAACAGTGATGGCAGTAATGCTTTCAGTTCGACCGTATTCACTGGGAATTTTCCCAGTTACAATAATAGTAATTTAGGTTCAATGATTTCAAACGAAGCGAAAATGTATAACTCACAAACAACACCAGTCAATATTTCATCATCTGGAAGTAATTTAAACTCAGTTGATGAAAACGCTTCATTTCTCAACGAAAACAATTCAAATTTATCTTATTTACCATTGACCAGTAACGCTGGTTCCAGTCGACCATTGTTCTACCCAACTGTTCACAACAATGCCGACTATAGCAATAGTGGGAATAACAAACAATCTGCAGATATGCATCAACAAAACACTGATCATTTCAGTTTAGTCCAGAATTCAACAGAATTAATCAAGCAACAATTCACATCGCTACCGAAACTGTCTCAGTTGAACACATCAAAAATGCCAGGTTCTTTGAATGCAAAGATGAATCTTCTTGCTACTACCGCTGCTACTGATGCTGTCAACAGTACTACTTCTATAAATAATAGCACAAATAATTATAATGATCATGCGACCACAAGTATTGCACACGTAAATGGCGATAATGGTGGAACTGATGATGACGATGAAAACTCTGCAAAGTCTTCAACTTCTCCAGCTGGTCATGACAGTTTAAGGCATCAAAATGAATTAGCAACCAGTAATCACACGGAAAACCGTCAATATAACTATTATTCAACTAATCAAAGTAACCATTCCTCACATTCACTGCAGAAAAAGAGGATTTTCGGTTTAGTACAATGTAAAAATATGAAGTTTACTTATTCAGATCGATACGGGAGTGTTGAAGAGAATGAGGTGGATTTTGAAACTCTGCATAAATCACAGTCAACTCAACACCACCAGGTATATGATAGCGGTTTTTCTGTTGTACTCACTAGACTAAATTGATCAGTTTCTACTGGTCATGGTCATTTGAAATCGACGCTTTAATATTGTCTTTGACTTTATTTTAATGCCATTTGCTAAGCTACAGTTAGCAGTGGAATCCAGGAAACGAGTTTGGAGTCCCAGTAGGATCATCATCACTCACTGGGACGCAAGTGTATCCAGCTAACGAGTCCCAAGTGGGATGAAACGCGCCTCCTAGATTCTACTGCTAGCCACCAACAAACAAATCATAGAAATGGATCATTCAAAACTGCCACTCTTCACAACAGTATCGCATTATAAAATCTAATAAAACAGAAACGTAGTAATCAAGCGTTCTAGATATTAGAGGGAGAAAAAAAATTAGAAATGAGCTAGAAGGTAAAAGCATTAACATCATGGTGAATGGGTTTGAACTAGGCCACTGACAATCTCCAGCTGCAGAGCGCCCTAGTCAGCAGCACTTGTTAGCCATATTCGAGTGATCTAAACACCGGGCAGCCGTTTTCTCGTTTAGGGCTGAGTAGTGCGCTTAAACAGACAACCAAGATTCAAATGATTTGGACAGACTGGCTCTCTCAACTCAATCGATTCGCGTACGCCGCTGATGAGCTCAGCCCCAAACAAGCAAGACGACCACTTTCCGATGTGTGATCACCTTGATTTGACCAGTGAGTCCGGCTGATAGGTGTGACTAGTCTAGAACTACTCATGCCAGTCAGTAGTTAATTAATTACTGGTATATTCATGCTTTAGCGAATCACTTTTAGGTATTACAATGATAATCAGTGTTATATGAGTCTACAGTATGTGCTTTTATTTCATTGCTAATAACCACTAAATGTTCTTGGACAGGATATTATCTTAAACCTTGATAGGAAAACTTTTAAAGAATATGGTTGATGTGTCAGTTACAATCATGCTTACTGTTGCCAACAATTAGTGAATAGATCTATGTGAGTCAGATTATTTGTCTGAACAAGTTTCGGTGTCTACTGCAACTTGTTTACAAATATCTTATGAAGTAAGATGTTGAACATTACATTTTGTCGAATGCCCAGAACCATTGAACACAATCACTATTCAGTGAGCAATTAGGACTAGAAGAAAGTTTACCGAACTGTACTTAGCAACCAGTTAGTGACAGTATAACTTCTCCTAATTTTTCGAGCAATAGCAGAAACACCATGTAAGCTTATTGTATATCCTTCAAGCTGTTCTTGAAATGTGTTGTTTAGTGAGTGGTACAAGGGCACGGGGACAAGATTCCTTAAGTTTCTTTCCCATAATTTAAGTAACACATTCAGTTAAGGGTGTCAAAAAATCATGCGTTGATTGGTCACTATCCAGTGACCAATCAACTTATCTAACCCAGTCCTACAGAAAGTCAACTGCGGCCCAACACTGTTCAGCCGTAAAGTCTCTGACTGCAGATTAGAATCTCAGATGGGACATCAGTTCTGTTAAGGCTGCAGATAAGCCTTGCTGACGAGTGCCAACAAATACGAAACTAAGGTCAAGCAGGGTTTCCTGCCGATTACCTCTATCCAACCAACATGTCAAAAAATCAGTTGAATACAGCCGATTGGATAGGCTCTGATCACCATCTACAGCCTTTGTTAGATAGTGACATGAATAAAGGAAACTCTATAGCTGATGAATAGGATGGTGCAATAACTCCATAAAGTCTTATCAATGAAACTGAAGATATGCTAAGAATTGCACGTGAGATCCTTATTGTTTACAAAAATAAAGATTCTATTACGTATAATCTATTTCTCAGTAATTCAAGAAGCTAAACTCCACAAGGTGAGATATAAGTTTTTTGCTCTGTGTATAGTGTTCTACAGTTTCAAGGAAGCGTATTTCAGCAATGTTAGTGGTGGCGAAGAAACAGCATCACTTGTGAGAACACCATCTACTTATTCAAAGATCTATATTTTCACTTTGTATTCGAAGAGATCTGAACTTGATTGTGAGAAGAAAACTTAGATGAATCTTTACTAACGATCACCTATAAATCAAAAGTATCCAAGTATTTAAAGTTGGTATTCATTACTAAGTGACATCAGCTGGAGAACCTTGAAGCACTGGACAGCCGTTTCGTCCTAATGTGAAACTGTTCAGAAGTGTGCACCCATGACCTCACTAGGGACCGTATTTAAGACTGCTCGGTTCTCCGGTGAGGACGCTACCACTAAGCCACTACGTTGCAATCCATGTATTCGCATTCTCCTACTTCTGACTTAGAGATATTTCCAGAAGTTCTAATTAAAAGTTGTGACCAGTGGGGCAAGCCAAGTCGGACATGAGGACAGGGTCTTAACGATGGCGTTCGATGAAGGTCAAGTTATATCGAGAAGCGACAGAAACAAGGAAATGTGGACCACTGGATTCCGATCCAGTGGCTCAATGTTGGAGTAATCGCCACGGAACCTGAAGGTTATGAGTTTGGTCCCTAATGGGGTTATGAGTACGCACTGCTGAGGAGTCCTACACTAGGAAAAAAACGGCTGTCCAGTACTCCAAATTTTTCAGCAGTTGTTCAACTGATGTCAGTCAAAGGAGAATACCAATCTGAAATCTATAAATAAATCTTCATAGAATTTCACACTGAATTGTTCAATTAATTGTTAAGTGTTGTTAGCTATATGTAATAAAGTTTACACTGATTGGTCACTGGACAATTAACAGTTTCACATTGTCTAGTTCTATGTACTGACCGTCACCATCGTTTTTGCAGTTTGGTCGACAAGCTAGGAGAGTTATGACCCTAGTGGACTTTGACTGATGATGGTTGGTTGAAGGCAGTTGGCAAAAAGCCCTGTTTCATTTAGCCCTCATTCTTATTCGTACCCATCATCAAGGAGTATCTGCAACCTCTAAGGAACTGTTATCCTTTGAGGGATTCGAACCTGAACCACCCATTGTTACCACTGAGTTATTCGGACCGCAGCTGACCTCCAGTAGGACTGGATTAAATACACTAACTGGTCACTAAGAGCAATCAACTTCATATCATCCAGTCCTGAGTACTACCCAAATTCTATCGATTATTTGTGAATTTGTATGTGTAAATCTCGCTTATGTTGACGGCAAATTTTATTCTTCATTATAGACACATACAAAATCCCATCGTTCAAGTAAATCTAATCCAGACCTACGTAATGACAAATCGCCTTCTCATATTAAACGACCAATGAATGCTTTCATGATATGGGCGAGAGATGAAAGAAGAAAAATTCTGAAGGTAAGTACATTCAATTTAGCTGTGAGATTCACTAATGATTCAAATCACAACGTATAATGCAACCAATATGACCCACTAATAAGCAGTCAAGTTTAACGGACCTTTCAATCAAAATCATTTTAAGACCAACTCATCCTTAAGAGTACTTGTGATAGGTGAGATGGCAAATGTCACTCAACCGATAGATGGATAGGTCTGAGATGAGATTGTTTTTGTAGGGAGGACTGAAAACATTGTTCATGCTAGTGATTTTTAGTCGGTAAAACCAACTTAGCTGCCTTTTTTAGACACATAAAGGGTTTCCTAGTGAATGAAAGATGAAATTAGTCCAAACTCTAACCTTTTATCCAGTAATCATGAGGAAAGTCCCACTTGGTAGAGCACCAGACTGGTAATCTGGAGTTCGCTGGTTCAAATCCTTCCACGGCTCAGATTTTCATTTCAGTGACAACTTTTAGATTCCATTCTTGATACTGGTTCAATTCCTCGAAAAAGAAAAGGAAGGGTAACAAGACAAGACTTAGTGCTTGACCAAACTATGTACAAAGATTTCCCAAGAGGGCGTTCATCATTGACTGATTTTAATCGATGAACCAATGTGACATTTATACATAGGATTACTTATTTTCCGTCGGAACTGCAGAGTGAGTTGACTGATTGTGGAATATTGCAGGAGTATGAGCCGATGGTCGAAGGTAAAACGAAAGCATGGGAGTGTCCGGATTCAAACCGGTGTCCTTCATATCACTTGTCCAGCCGGACTGCGTGACCCACCTGGTAACCATATCCTAACTCAGCTATGGCCACCTCATATAGTCTCAGAAATGATTCCAAGGAGGTTGGATAACTTCGGAGGCTCTGGACATTAATATTGCACGTGATAGCAACAACTTTCCCCTTTTCAAAATTCAGGCAATTCAGTGAAAATGTACAATTCAAGCCTTTATAAATTTAGTTTCATAATAAGTTAAATATAAATACTATGCGAGAAAAAAAGACAGATTAGAAAGCAAGCCAGGCCTTTTAAAATCTTACAGCCTCAAAGTAGGACCATTTAGTATGCAACAGAGATGTAAAATTTGATTATGGTTTGTCTCAGAAATCCAGCTCTGTTTTGTTCAACACCAGTAACTACAGTAAGAAACTTAGGCTTAACAGGACGTCAAAAAAGTTATTGAAACAGTTTATTCAGAGTGGTGTGATTTAAAAGCTGAGAAACCATTTCACTCACTTAACCTCCATTCCCAAGTGGTGTGTCAAGGCCAATTTAGTTGAGGTTGACAGATTGTTCAAACCACTGAATTTTGGCCAGATAACTTAATATACTTGAAATATTTTAAAGAAGATGAGTGAAACTTGTTCAAATAACTCTTCCTTCCCTTTCTAAACTGCAAGAAAAATATTATCCTCTCAACACAGATAGACGAACTCAAATCACACAGTAGATAACGTCCGACAGTGACATTCACAATCCTCGTTTCGTCTGATTTTGAACACATCAGCCAGGTAGTCCCCAGTACCCATTGCTTCAAGTGCCAAAGGAGTCCACACTAAGCTACACTAAGTTACAATGGGCACACCCTGTTCAGCAAAGACTGATCGATTCGGTCTTCTAAATCACACAAGGAGACAACCAGAAACATTGTTGTATTCAGATTGCCCGTAAGATACATACTTCACCTGGATTACTCACATATGGTATATAATTACTGGATTCATCCCTTCCCGAATAAGAAAGTAATGGAGTGGGAATTTCTGCCGAACTCTAAGGTGATCTTCATCAAAAATCAATAAACTGAACATTCATTGATTATCGAGAAGAGTTTCTTTTTCTCATCTTAAAATTCCTCTTTTGTGCTTCCTTATGAAATTCGCATACATCTGGGGAAAAGAACAGAACCATTGCGGTGTATAAAAACTACACCGGTTTTGAACTATACTCATCCTAACCTAAATTGACTCACCAAAAAGCTTTACAGTCTAGCGTGGGGCATACTACTTCTTTCATAGGGCAGTCAGAATTGGATCTCTTCACGTACTGTGTAAATTCACTGAGATATGAAGTCGATGTATGCTTTAGTCCAGTTCATCTCTATGGCTAGTGACTGATCACAGTGCAATTAAAATTTGATATACAATCGTAATACATATGTATACAAGTGTAGATGAAATAATTTCTGACATTCAAACGCATATAAAGAGCAAACTTACAGTAAGAAGGTAACTAATAAGCATCTGTCAATCAAACAGGTGGAGGACAATTTTTGTCGTATAAACACATTGAACACAGCCTATTGTAACTAAAATTTATTCGACATTTAGTTTATTTAAAATAATAATAATCATACACAATCTTGCATATGATCCAAACCACTGTCACTAGTGTGGAATTATTATTATTATTATTACTGTTAGCTGTGACTGTAGTAATCACAATTTGTTTATCCTACCTCTTCTACTAAATTTGGATGTGGCCAGAGGATACACTTTTATCGATACCTTAAGGAAAATGTAATATCAGAAGAGCATATTTCAAGCAATGCATAGTTGAGTTGTTTCAGTGAAGTAAAGGGGTCCATAAGTATTGAAAGGCAGTACAGTACACTTGTGTAAGAATAAATTTCTAATTACAGGACAAAGTTTTTATAATGTGTTCAATGACAATTTTGACATTTTCTAGTGACACAATTTGATGGTTAACTAAAGTTAAGCTTATTCCACAAACAGTTTCATGTGTACTTCTGTGAAGCTAATTAAATACCTACAGTTAAGGATTGAATTCAACAAGGTAAAGTCTTGAAATATTTGAGATGATAGACGGTTGACTGATTCAACACGGAGGTTTGTAAGAATTTACTGATTGATTTCAAGTCGGTATTCATCATGGACTAACATCAGTTGGAGAATAACCAAAAACCTGGGAACTCTAGACAGTTGTTTTTGCTTAGCATACGATTCCTTAACAATGTGCACGCGAGACGTCACCAAGGATCGAACCCGGGACGTTGAGGTTCCACGACGAGCAAATAATAAGTAAGTTTTTGGCTGCCTGCTTAAATCTTCAGCCACCAAAACATTTTCCACTCAATATATTCCATCAAATCCTTCGCTTTCAGTTTGCTTTAAATGTCATCTGAACGCATCATGTTCTGCCAGATGTTTTCAAAATGTTTTCGAACTTTCTTTTTTCAAGCTAAGAACAAAAGAACGGAAAAGCGTTACGTTACAGCACTTTACTATTCCTAGACGACTTGTACGGGGTTGTAAATTTCTGTGCTGGCTAACTAAACTACCACCATTAAAATCACACTCGATTTTGTGTTCATTTCCGATTCAAGACCGGATATTTATGTAACACCCGCTGCCCGTTTCACATTTATGCCTTTAATACTGTTATTATTAACAATATTCAGGCGCAATAATTATTTCTTTTAAAAATTTTGTTCGGGAACTGAAGTTGTTGAAGTACTGTATGCTGAAAATTCTATACTGTATCATACATGTTATTTGGAATAAAGTGATTATTATTTTAAAGAAATTACCACTGAACTACTGTATCATGATCAGTCCGTCCAGGTTTTCGATGATTCTCCAACTGATGTCACCCCATGATGAATACCTACTTGAAAGCAATGAAATCCCCACAAGCCTTCAAATTGAACTGCTGTTCAATGCTCATTAGTGAGTGACCTGCTTCGAGATGAGATTTCCCGAAGTTCTAATGAAAAGTCATCACTAGTGAGGCAAAACAAGTCGAACATGAAGATATCTGCTCAACGATGGCATTGGATGAAGGTCGCACTAGAGTGCAAACTGATAGAAGTCGGAAACTGTAGACCGTTAAAATTTGGACCCAGTGTCTCCATGGTGAAATGCTCGCCAAGAAAATTAAATATCCTGGGTTCAATCCCTGGTGGTGTCGTGGGTGTGCACTCCTAAAGATCCCCTTACTGCGACGAAGTAGCTGTGCAGTACTAGCAGGCTTTCAATAGTTCCACAGCGCCAGTTCTTGATGAAGACTTAAAAAATGTATCTTCTCATCAGTCGAATACGTGCATGAGTAAAAGACAGAAGCCGAAGAAGGTTAAAAGTAATTTCATTCGTGTATTACTTCATTATTTGAGCAGAGAATAGGAATCCAGGTCTTAGGAACACTAACATTGACAGTTTGTCTTCTCATTAATGGAATACATTACATCCATATTCTTCCCCTTTAATCTAAAGCCGGTAGTAGTAGTAGTAGTAGTGCAATGGTTTAAAAATACTGAAAATACAGGGATATGATATGAGTAACTGTGACACCGTAGGATATAAGCTGTGAGTTAACTGAATAATTTAATCTCAAGGCACTTTACCCAAGAAAAGAATGTTTAGATAGACAGTTTGACAAATCAGCGCAGAATCTGGCATCACTGGAAGTTCCCACCCTTCACAGTACCACAAAAACAAGAAGTGAGTCGAAAAAGAATGCTATCAAAGTAGACAGTTGCGCATGAAGGTTGATAGGACGAATGGTGAAAATATTCAGATTTCTGAACGAGACAAAGAATGAATACAGTTTAGTCGTTCATACAGATTTCGTGCCATTTTACCAAGGGTCAGTAACTATTGACTCCCACTATCTTGAAGACTCCAACCGAGCAATCCACACTTTATTATAACACTCAAACCAACAGTCAAAGACTTCACAGACTGATGTTAAGTCATCATATGACTTCCGTTAGCCACCATCTGGGCTAATCCTACTTCAGCTAACATCATACGCAGAGGTAGGCGATGTCTCGGTATCCAAAAGGTATGTTCGAGTGACCTTAGTCTTTAAAAATCGTTAACTTCGTCGAGTGGTTTACCTTCTTTGCCTAGTGTCTTTAGTATAAACTTGATACAGTTCACAAGGTGACTGCACCAAATATAGGCAGTGCTATAAGGATAACCCTGGTGAAAAGCCTCAGCTTCTTCCTATCTTTTTTAACACTCCTGTCTCACAGCTGTGTAATGAGACAGTTAACTGTTGCACAGGGTTTGAAACATAAGGCTGTTCAACTTCTCACCAACACTAAACACTATTACCATGACAATTTTTATGGATCATAGGGATGTTTTCAAGGAAAGGAAAGTTGATGTGTATTATTTTAAAGTTGGTAACTTTCTGAAGAGTGAACCTGAAAGAGCTTGGAAGAAGAAGGCATCTCTTATGAGGAAAGAAACAGCATATATGCCATCATAAGTACATAAATACACTCAATGGATAACCCTAAATGGAAGACAACATCCTCAGTGAAGTGAACCAATATTCAGGAGCGCTCAAACCTAGGGATTTCAATATCACCACACTGACTCACATTCTAAAATCAAAGTACTAAGATATCGGAGTCTTTTTTCCGTTTGAGATTCTAAGCATATTAATAAATCTCCCTTAGTATGTTTCGCTCAGCTTACCTTTCTTTCGTTCTATTTGTCAGTTCTTCATTACTTGATACTGGGTGGTAATTGAAGGTGAAGTGAAAGCTTAGGCCATGACAGGATTCGAAGCAGTAACCACTGGGTTTCCCGCCCAGTGCTCTACAAACTGAGCTAGAAGGCCCAGCTGGTGACCAGATTTTTATTTCGCTTCAGTCACTAAGGGTTTCGCCCGACTGCTATATTAATTCGTGATGTATTACTACCGCTCGTTGGCACTCACACTGGCGACCCAATCAAGACTTCTCAAAACAATCTGAATTTACTTGAATTAGAGACGGCAAGGATCATATTGATTATCAATTTAACTAAATAAGACAGTTGTAATTTGGCAGACTTGTCGATAAAAACCCTTGGTGACTGAAGTGAAATGAAAATTTTGTCAATAGTTGGGTCTCGTATACCAGTTGATACAGCATCGGGCCGGAAATCCAACAGTCGCTAGTTTGAATCTTACCACGATCCAAATTTTCACTGCACCTTCAATCATCACCCAACGTCATTACAAGTCTACCGAACCACGGTTATCTCAGATAGTCAAAATGATAATCTTCTCTAATTATCAAACCACTATAGAGCCAAGTATGCATAACTTTCATTAATGAAGCCAGAAAATACGACTACAGTGTGATAAAGATGATTGTCAACTATCCGTTTACTTCACCCCATTTTTTCGTTATATCTTTCTTTTTTCTGCCTACTTTTTGGTTAAGGGGAAAAGTATTTTGATATAACATGAACAGTCGTTATAAATTTCGTTGGTAGTATACCAACTTATGCTTAGTAATTGAGAGATAGAGAGAAACGAAGAGATGAAGATGGAAGAAGCAACAATCTTTAATTTTTCTGTGTTAGTATACTAACTAAGAAGGGTCGCAATGACATGAACAACCTTGAATAAATTACTACAAGAATCATACCAATAAAGCATCCCACCGCTGACCTATCCCACACACACCAACACTCAACACAGGTATTAACAACAGTACATCATACCTTAAATTGACATGTACTCCTACACCTATGAAGCTGTTGTTGTGTAAAAGAAACAAAAAGTGAAAAGGAGGTTAACTTATCATCATCCATTGTTTTGATTACTTATTTAAGGTTTGTTTATCTATTTGCCTGTTTATTCCAGCATAGTATATATTTTGGTCAATAGAAAAGAAAAAAAATGATAAGAGTACTGATGATTTTGTGTACTAAGTTAGTAAACAAATCCCGACGGGAGTGTAATGTGTAAACAAGCAGCGTGAATCAGTTACTATAATAGCAGCAGTGGTACTATTAGTAGTTGTAGTAATCGTAGTATCACAACAGAATGGAACCAACAATAGACTATGCATTACGTATTTAACCTTTACGGCTTCGTTTATCTATTAAGCATGACCTTTACAAGCATTCCCCGCCCCCCTCTCTTGTTGCTTATTTTGTACTAATGAGTGAAAAATAAGGCAGCAGAAACCAATCCAGAATTCAATTATTTTTGTTTTGATTAATGGAATCGGGATGCTGGGCTAGTTCAGCGGTTACTTTTCTTATTTATTATAAATAGATAATTATCCTGTAAGGTTGTCAGTGAAAAGCATGATGTAACGAACAGTTGTTCAGTAACGTGCGTAAACTTCTCAGAAGTTCACACACACTGAAATATAAGTATGCATTTATTGAAGGGATTTTTAATAACGGGCTGATTTTACAATCATCTTATTATGCTTTCCCAACGGTTTTAGTCAATAGAAGGCAAAGTTTAGCCTACGGCTAACTTATGGCTTTTGAGAAGCACTGCACAAGGTCTTCTCAAAATACTTTGTCGGATTATTCTACTGGGAGCTGACAATACCACCTGCAAATAGAAAGAAGAATGAATAACTCATCACTTTATCAACCTAGTAATATGAGTCCACTTGCTGTTTGATGTGACTACAAATCTATCCCAGCTTAAATCAAGGATTTCTCCTAGCCCTTGAAGAAAACCTCATTAAATTACACTCCAGTGTTTAATAGTGACCTGTTTTGAGATGAATTTCTCGGAGTTCTAGTGGAAAACCGTTACTTGTGTGGTCAGCATAGTTGTGAGTATGGATAAATGTGTACCAGTGACACTGGATGACAGTCGGAGCATACAGTGACTGGCTAACGTGAACCACCGGTTCTCAACATAGTGGTGGAATGGTAACATCTCCTCCACGAAACCTGTTGGTCCTTCTCTTCATCCTACATGGGGTCGTAGCTGTAGGCTACTGAGAAGTATCAAACTAGAGGAAAACATCTGTTCAGTGCTTTCATGTTTTTACTGACTCTCCAACTGATTTTAATCCTTGGTGAAAATGGCTTCCAAAAACAAAGTGAAATTACAATACAGCTGCTGTCTAATGCTTTCAATCCATACAATTATTATTAAACAGACAAAAGAAATTAAACTCTAGTAACCACTGAAATGCTGGTTAATTGATAAGAAATTACCTAAACACCCAGTCAAAAGATACTTCTAACAGTTTTTACAGATTTCTATTGAAAAAAGTGGCTGATGTAGTTGTCACTGAACATTAATGGAAGCAGTTCCATCTTAAAAATGACTACTTTCGAATCAATAATACAGGCATTACCAAAGGTTAATAAGATTCGCAATCACTTTCGACGAATAAAAATACCTTATCAGTTTTTCAGTTCTATCCACCTTCCCATTATGTCTTCTCTGTAACCTTGGCAGATCAAATGATGCAAATGGAAGATCTTTCTTCTTATTCAACATTAATTGCAATGGATCTCGTTCCATATGGTTAGTCTTTAGTCTCAGTGTTTTAATGCTGTAACTGATAGTTTTCTGTCTCTTTTACTCCCCTTTCTATCCAAAACAGGCATGCCCAGATATGCACAATAGTAGTATATCGAAATTTTTGGGAGCTAAATGGAAGTCTATGAGTTCTGAAGCGAAACAACCCTATTATGAAGAACAAGCTAGACTGAGTCGTCAACACATGGAAGAGCATCCAGCTTATCGTTATAGACCACGTCCAAAGCGTACATGTATTGTAGACGGCAGAAAATTACGCATATCCGAATACAAGGAATTGATGCGTTCACGTGGTGACTCATCGCGCAGACAGTGGATTGGATCAACTGATGAGCAAGCTCAAAAGATGGTTGAAGATATTTTAGGTGAGTCTATGCTTAATATTTCAAAAGAAATTACAATTAGTATGAAAAACTGTCTCCTTTCTAGTGACTCCAACTCTTAAACATAACCTATGTATGTCTGAAGGCCTTAACTGTATCTCTGAATGACTTTTTAAATCTCTTGAAATAGCGTAAAGTAGTCGCCAAGTACTTACTAGTCTCCAATGGTTCTGCATTCACAGCCATTTAATAACAAAATCAATAAAGTCCTGTTAACTAATGACGTGAATGGGGAAATAACTGCGTGGGAAGTTATTCTCGTGACTGTCACCTTCGTAGTAAGCGTAAACAATACATACATACATACATAATACTAACTATTATTTTATACTAGATGATGATTGAAGGTGAAATGGAAACATGGATCGCGGTTGGATTCAAAACACTGAACACTAGGTTTCCGACTTGGTTCTCTACCGACTGAGCTACGATAACTGAAGTATTATGATCAATATGATCCCTGCTCTCTAATTTCGTTAGATTTGGATTCGAGTGACAAGTCCTGACTAGGCAGTCAGAGATAGTAACGCCTTGAGTATTCACATGGCAGTAGGACAAAACCCTTAGAAATTGAGTTGAAATAAAAACCTGGTCAAAAGTTGGGCCCCGTAACTCAGTTGGTAGAGCAAAGGGCCGGAAATCCGCTGGTTGCTGTTTCGAATCCAAATGCTGTCTACATTTTCATTTCACCTTAAATCAACACACAGTATCAATAGAAGTCTGCCCAACTGCCGTTATCTCATAGTCAAAACCATAATTATTATTTGTTGGTATACTTGTAATTCTCCGTTGTTATGATGCATTGAATGATCGGGTTCCTGTGCAGATGCCTCGATATTACCTGAATATTTACTGTTACAACTGACTCGGCTGTAGGGAGCAGTGGAATCCAGGATGCAAGTTCTGTCATCTTAGGGATTTGTCAGCCGGATTTGAGTGGTGCTGTTCCCACCCAGAAATAAACCTAGTCATTTATAACAGTCTGTATTCAGGCAGTATCAAGATATTCACACAGGAATCTATCTACCAACAGAGGTTGGTCAACTCGATCCAGTGTAACAGAGAAGAATACAACTATCAATAAATAATAACAACTAATACTTTTTGTACCAGAGATAACTGTCGTGCTTCATTGGTCTAGCGGAAACGTCCTGGTGTTTTAAGAGGTGAGTACGAGTCTCGGTGGGAACAACATCAGTCACCAGCGTGCAGGTACATTCAGCTGACTAGTCCCGTGTGGGACAAAACGAGCGTCATGGATTCCACCAATAAGCACAACCAAGTCACTTGCAACAGTATGTAATATTCATTGTACAGAAAGACTATCATTAGCTGATGCTCAGCTGTCTAAACTGAAAGACTGAAGATGCTTTCCTCAAAAATCCACCTTTCTAAATACAGACATGATCCAGATCACGTACGACTGTTTTAGGAATCCCACATACAATGGTAATCTGTTGAACACAAGTTGAGCCATAGGAAATACTTACACCTACTAAAATTATTCCAAAAATCTGGTAATTTATGTACATATTGTTTTTGGAAATACTATCCAATTGTTGAGTTGTAAAGATCCTATATAAACACTTATCTAAACGCTTTCATTGACGATAGGTGTGACTCTTGTTCTCGAACTAACATGTTAAAATTCATATGTTTCCGCAACATGTACTCTTAGAGTGTTGCAATGAACTACACCAGATAGTGGAAACCTTTATGAACTTAATAGGATTTATTATCCTTTAAGACAAGACAAGATGTTGGTGCTATCTGAAGAGATTCGATGGATAGTGCTTGGTTAGGCAATGACTTAGAACAATAGAAAGCCACTGTTTTTGTTTAAGACCCTTCAAAATTACTCATTCTTTGCCTTCTGTAGAGTAGAATCTACGACAGTGTTAAAAATCAAATACTGAGCTGCTGGCTCAGAATTTTAAAAAATCTGACCATGTTTCTGATTTCATTCAACATATGATGTTCGAATTAACCTGTGACAGTTGTTTCCCGGTAGGTCGACTTATTTTACGATGAAAAGTTGGGCTATATGTCAAGCTATATATGCTGACCTTTGAACTATAAATCAGCTCTCGATAAACAGGTTTTGAAAGTTTATAGAAAATGTTAAAATATTCTGAGCTAAAAATTTTAGGAGAAAGTCTTTGAAAGAATGCGCTGATATTTTGAACAACCGGTCACATCTGGTCAAACAATAGGTCACCAACTAAACTGAAAACGAAGGGAGATATTCCCGAAATTTTAACCAGGAGTTTTTCTTCACAATCCTTAGGTCAACAGAAGACAAAGACTGATTATTCACTGTACTTCTTGTGATTCATGATCTGAGTCGTGGAGTGACTTTAAAGGCCACCCTAACAACTGCTAAGATAACCAATTACTTTTCTTTCTCTTATGCTTACTACCTTTTCCGACGAAATACCGAAACGTGATTGGTTATTTCAGCAGTTGCTAGGGTGCCCTTTAAAGTCACTCGAGTCATGAGTATCTGTAACTGAATTATACGCTCATACTGTACTATATTTAACGAAAATGAAATAACTGATCTTATAGAAAGAAAAGGGTTTTATGCACAATGATTACTAGCCTTTAAGTCACCTGTTTCAGTTTCATCGATCGTACGGAAGTAATTAAGGGACCAGTTGAAAGTCCTTGACCTGACCTATATAAGTAAGTAGGATAGTAAGACCAATAATACTTATCTGAGATGACTACTTTCATTTATGCAATCCTTTACATCAGTGAGGATTACTTTAGACACCCGAATCCTGAGCTGTGTTTGTGCGTCCACCACTTTCCTCACATAAAAACATACCCAGTGGCCATATCCACTTTCAAATTCTCCTTGGCTCCTGTGAAAACTCATCTTCTTTGTATAACACTTTACAATATCCAAAGTAACCTTTGGAATTAACCATCACAGATACAATTAACATTGACGGATTGGTGAATCTGATGAAGTTGAAGATACTTCGTGGAGAAATACTAGTACTTATAATGATATTCTGTCAATAACCGGTATCTGCCAGATAAAATGACTGGAACTGGAGAAAACCGACTGTCTAATTTCTAAGCTGATGCCCAGAATCCAACATTTTATGTGAAAGAAAATCCGTGCATGCATATTAATGAGTGGCATTGAGCTTTAGTAAAATAAGTATCTACCTATCGTCGACCCCCTACTGACCTTCATATGACAACGTTCCCCCTTTGGTATAGAAAAAATATCATTTGGTCGCTGTCTACCATCAAACATAGAGATCCATCAAAGTGAGACATCCAGTCAGTTGGTCACATATTGATCGAAACAATATTTCAACCACTGAAGTCCGGCAAATGTCAATAGGTATGTCGTCGGATAGCGGATTTATATTCAGAGTTCAACGCTTCAACCGATGGTCTTTGTTAGTTGGATGCGGGTGATCGGTAGGAAGACCAGCTTCACCTAGGTGTCGTCGTTCCTTGGACTCGCCTGCGGGGACTTGATGTCTCATCTGAGACCTGAACCCGCGTCAACGAGTGCTGCAGTCAGTGACCTTACTGATGAGCTATTCGGGACGTGACTGACCTCCTGTAGGACTGGGTTACATGTCTTGATTGTTCACGGGAGTGCAACCATTTTGTCTAGTCCTGAATGCAGACCGAATCTTATAGATTATATTTGCAATGTGGCCACCAAACTAAGAGGCCCGGCATCTTGGCGTACATTAGTAGATGTTAGTTGGTTGGAGACAATCGGCAGGAATCCCTGAACCTAGGTTTCGTACTTGTGAAACTCCTCAGCAAGGCGTGTCTGGAACCTTGACGGAACTGATGTCCTGCCCGTGGCTCGAACCCGCGTCACCCGGTGTTGTAGTTAATGACTGACCACTGAGCTATTCGGGCCTTGACTTGCCTCCTGTGGGACTGGGCTAGGTAAATTAATTAGTGGCTGGAGGGTAACCAATGTCATGTTGTCTAGTCCTAAGTGCTGGTCGAATTCTATCGATCACTGTCTCCAAAGTTCACTGATAATCTCTTGGCTTGCTTTGATCATTGACGCTATCTCTGAATTCCAATGAGACAATGGGCTTCTTTGAGATGAGAAGCATGTTTTTTCTGCAAAAATATGAAAAAAAACAGTCCTGCACACTAATGTTTTTCACCTAACCAGACATTAGTAATCACTAATGTGACACTGACTGCAATAAAGGTGGTTATCTTACTTATTTCACCCAGTGATACGAAACTTTTAGTATCAGTTAGAACCACTTAGCAAAGCACTTTTAATTATAACGTACATAGTTTAATCCTCTTTCATGGATTTATTCAGGTATCAAGTACTACTATAAGAATCCTTGCCAAAATAATAATAATAATAAGCGAGTCACTTTGATACTCTGTTCTTCTCTCCTTCAACTTCACTCTCTAACCCATCTCTCTCTCTCTCTCTCAGTCTCTTTTCCCTTCCCACTACTTCAGTCAGTCGTATTTCCTCCTTCTTCTCATCAGATAAACAAAAAAATATTTTTATAATTTATTTTAAAAAATTAAGTGCATCGTCTTTATAGGCTGAGATTATCATTATCATTGCCATTCTAATTTTATTGTTTATAATAATTGTGTGCATTATCACAATCACTCCTTATGTTGCGTATTTGTGTAAGTTCGTGCGAACCGATAAGATGCAGCATCCCAAAAACGTAAAGAATCAAGCCTTTCCATCTTTCTGGTGAACTGATAGCGTAAAAAAGAAAGATAAAGGGAGGGGGACAGGGAGGAGAAGGGACGATGCACGTTAGCAAGTAGTATCTTCAGTTCCTGTTCTTAGTAGTAAACTGTGTCTACGCACACACAAGTGCCAATCATGGAGAATCGATGATATTCCACCCTTTCTATATTTAGGCAAAATATGCATAGTCTTTGGTGCAACAAAATCATGATGATGTAATGATAATAACAATAGAAAGGAAAAAAACCTTCCTGAC